AATACATGTTAGCCAGGACACAGAGGAGAACTCTCCTGCTCTCTGTCAGTGGCATGAACTCTCTGCTATTACCTGCCAGGGTGGATTAGTTTCTCGCTTTATTGAAAAGACAGCAACTCCAACAGTGCTGACCTCCCTCAGCACTGCACTGGGAGATTCAGCATAAACTGTGCCCAATTTTTAAAATATTCATTCACAGGATGTAGATGTTGCTGGCTAGCCTAGTAAAGAGTCAACAACATGGTAATGGGTCTGGAGTCACATGTAGGCAGGATAGTAATTTCCTTTTCCCAAAGGGGCATAGGTTTAAGGTGAGAGGGGGAAAGTTTAAAAGAGATGTGCAAGGAGAGTTTTTTTCACAGAGGGTAGGAGGTGCCTGGAATGCCCTGCTAGGAAAGGTTGTAGAAACAGAGATGATAGCAAAGTTTCAGAGGCATTTGGACAGACGCTTGAACAGGCAGAGAATAGGGGGATATGGCATGTGCTGGCAGATGGACTAGTTTAGAGTAGCATCATGGTTGGCACAGGCATGGTGGGCCAAAGGGCTTTTTCCTGTGCTGTACTGTCCTATTTTCTAAAGGGTATTAGTGCACTAGATAGGTCTTTATAATCATGGAATCCCTACAGTGTGGAAACAGGCCCTTCGGCCCAACATGTCCACACCAACCCTCAGAGCATCCCACCCAGACCTACTCCACTCATCCCTGCACACTGTGGGCAATCCACCTAATCTGTACATCTTTGGACTGTGGAAGGAAACTGGAGCAAACCCACGCTGGTGCTGTGAGGTAGCAGTGCTAACTACTGAGCTACCGTGCCGCCCTAATAATAATATATAATAATAATAATCAGCACTGTTTTCATGGTCATCAGTAGATCCTTAATTCCAGATTTTTTGATTGAATTCAGATTCCACCATCGGCCACAGTGAGTTTTGAACCTGGGTCTCCGGATTAATAGTCTAGCAAGGTCATACCCCTCCCATAAAAATAATTCCCTTTCCAATTGGACTTGGGAATCTTTTGAAACAATTGCCCAATGGAGGTTGAGTTGAGAGTGGAGCAGTTTGAATTGGGAAGCCGTAGAATCACAAAATTTTACATTAGAGAAAGAGGCCATTTGGCCCATCATGTCTGTACCAGCTGCCCCTGCTAGTCCCATTCTTCACCCCCATCTTCATAGCCTTCTAAAGTCATCACTTAAAAATATATATCCAGCTCTGTTTTGAAACCTCCTATGGAATTTGCCTGCGCCACTTTCCAAGGCAGTGCGTTCCAAATCCTAACAACTCTCTAAGTAAAGAACCTTCTCATCTCAATCCTGGTTCTCTTCCTGACAGCCTTGATATTGTGACTCCTAGTTACTGACTATTGGAAATAGAATATCCTTCATTACCCTGTCAAAATTGCTCATAATTTTGAACACCTCAATTAGGTCACCTCTTAATCTTCTCTGCTCCAAGGAGACTAAGCCAAATTTCATTTATCTATCCTTGCATTGTCATTCTAGTAATTCACCACCGGGGAGAATCCACACTTAGGTGGCACAGTGGTTAGCACTGCTGCCTCACAGCTCCAGGAACCTGGGTTCAATTCCACCCTTAGTTGACTGTCTGTGTGGAGTTTGCTCATTGTCCGCGTGGGTTTCCTCCGGGTGCTCTGGTTTTCTCCCACAATTCAAAGATGTGCAATGTAGGTGAATTGGCCATGCTAAATTGCTCATACTGCCCAGGGATGTTTAGGATAGGTGGGTTAGATATGGGAAAATGCAGGGGTAGGGAAATGGGTCTTGGTGGGACGCTCTTCAGAGGGGCAGTGTGGATTTGTTGGGCTGAATGGCCTGTTTTCAAAATGTAGGGATTCTATAATTCTACATTTGGTTTGCCAGGTGTCTGCCCATTTGGCCAACTTGTCAATGTGCCTCTGAAGTTGCTCAGTGACATCCTCACAATTCATTATTCTCTCTATTTTAGTATCAACTGCAAATTTAGAGATTTTTTTCCTCCAACACCCATTTCCAAATCATTTATATAAATCAGAAAAACAAGGCTCCCAACACTGATCCCTGGAGAACACCATTTTCAACTTGTCTCCAAGCCAACTTCTAATCCATACTATCAAGAATCCATCAATTCCAAACATTTCTAATTTGCTAACTGACCTGCCATGTGGCACCATGTCAAAGCTTTCTGAAAGTCCAAATATACAACATCCACAGCACCACTCTTATCTACTATATCAACTTGACAAAGATCTCAATTAAATTTGTCAGACATGGCCTGCCCTTGACAAATCCGTGTTAACTGACTAGTATTAACTTACTTTTTGTCTAAGTGTATATTTATCTTCTCCAATATTATGGCCTCCATCAGTTTTCCCTCTATTGATGTCAAATTGATAGGTCTGCAGTTTTCTGAATTATCCTCTGCCCCTTTCTCAAACAATGATGTACATTTGTAATCTTCCAGTTCCCTGGAACTAATCCTACATTTAGAGAAGCCTGTAAAATTTTAAATTGTCAATGAAATTTCCTGGGTTAATAGCACCAAATTATGTACAATATAGCTTCCTAAACTGTGTCCCAATCTGAGTGAGCAATCAAATTGATTCTTTATGTTCAAAAAATGCTGGAAATATAGAGCAAGCCTGCCAGAGGATATTGGGTTAACGTTATGAGTAAGCCCTTTATTGCTGTTTCACATACTGAAGGGACCTGTTGTGTTTTTCTAGTACGTATAGCTTGAAATATCTAATTGAAGAGCTTGTGTGAGCGGCTTTACAAAATGTCTGTGATGAGTCACGCTGGCAGCTTCTCAGCTCTCCCGGACCCCTTCATTTTCACAGAGCTTCAAGGTGAGAATGAACACATGAACACACTGAATGATAATGTGGCCCAATTTGACCTTGGTCTTTTATGCCTTTGAAAACAAGATAAGACTGAGAAAAATGGGAAAACCAGAGAGTGATTTGTGTCCAGATATTTGCTGTGGATGCAACTACATTGAAAAATGTCAGCACTAACCCCTCGCTTACAAGTGGAAAAATCGTTTCTTGTGTTCAAAAAGAAAGCTATAAACTTGTGAGTGCTTCTCAGGAATTTCAGAAAGCCCAACAAATTTGGATTGTCCCGTTCAGCTCAGATTTTGTTCGGGTGTTGAACTTGGATTCTGTTCTTCCTGTTAAAAGAAAACTCTATCAGAAACAATTAGAAATGGCTACACTTGACATCGTCAGGAGTTTTTTTTAAAATTTGTTCATGGGATCTAGGTGTCAATGGCAAAACCAAATTTTATTGCCCATACCTAATTGTCTCTGGAGAAGGTGGTGGTGAGCTGCCTTCTTGAACCATTACAGTCCATGTGCTATACTTTGACTCACAATGCCATTAGGGAGGGAGTTCCAGGATTTTGATTCAGTGACAGTGAAGGAACGGCAATATATTTGCAAGTCAGAATGGTGAGTTACTTGGAGAGGACTTGCAACTTACATGTTGCTCCCATGTATCTGCTGCCCTTGTCCTTCTTGATAATACAGGTCACAGGTTTGGAAGTAGCTGTCAGAAGAGCCTTGGTGAGTTGCTGCAGTAAATTTTGTAAATAATACATATGGCTGGTACTGAGCAAGGAAACAAATTGGTGATGAAGGGAGTGAATGTTTAAGATGGTGGATGTGGTGCCAGTCAAGCGGGCTGCTTTGTCCTGGACAGTGTTGAACGTCTTGCGTGTTGTTGCAGCTGCACTTATCCAGGCAAACAGGGAGTATTCCATCATATCAGTGGCCAGAAATACGTTTTTTCAGTCTGACATGAGCATCATTAATCAGTTAGGAAATTCTATCGCTATTGAATGAGGCATTTCTTGGATGCAGTCTAAAGCACTTAATTTGGGAGCAAACTGAAATTTATATAAGAACCTTATTCTTCAGAGTCATACTGGACTCAAAATGTTAACTCATAGCATTTGTGGAGACAGAAACAAAGTCCTGCTGAGTTTCTGTAGCAATCTCTATTTGTTTCAAATTTCCAGCACCTGCAGTGTTTTGCCTTTATTAGTCTGCTAAACCATCTCTGAACTGCCTCCAAGATATTTACACTTTTCCTTAAATGAGTACACAATACTCCAATAGTGGTCTCACCCTATATAACTGAACTGCAATCTCCCTACAGCCGAGAGTAATATTGTGATGGTACTGTACCTTTAAGAGGGACTTGTTTTGTGCTGATTCTCTTGCAGAGAGGTATTGCCACAGTGGTGACTGAATTATCTGCTTCAGAAGCAGTGGTTAAACAGCTTTGAGCTCCGTGCGTGTTTTTTTACAATTAGACAAAAGAAGCATGAGTGGGAGGAGTCAGGCTCACACAAGCGCAGGGTTTTAGGTTTTTTTTAAATTAGACAAAAGAAGCATAAGTGGGTGGAGTCAGGCTCACACTGACCCAGGGTTTTAGTTTTGCTTTCAGTTGGGCTTTGGAGCTGACTACTCAAACTGATAGATACAGTCCTTTCTCCCTCTGCTGCAGGCAAAAAGCTCGACTTCTCTCTCTGCTGCTAGTTAGTTTCTTTCAGTGTTCCTCTCTCCTGGACCGGAAAGGAAATAGCATGTGAAGAAAATCTGTTTTGCTGAATTTGCCTTTGCCAAGAGTGTGTTTATGGGAAGCTGCTATATTGGAACAGTTGATGATTAGTAATTAAATAATATATTATTTTATTAAGTATTTCAATAGAGTTAAAGTTATTCCAATTCTTCTTTTGTGTTTTAACTCTGTTGTAAGAATAAAGTGTGTTTTACTTAGACGCAAATAGTGGACCAATCAAATGACATCTGGAACATAGCACCTTACACTTGCCTTTAAACAAAATAAAAAGTTAAGATGTAGGCTATCTCTTTGATATATTTTGAGGGAGTTTGGTCTAATCCATAACGATATAAATTGAGTGATGTCTGACACTGAATAATATTCTAAATATGGTAACTGTTCGAAAGTGATCATTTTCTGTTTTCCAGACCCTTGAAGGCCTCTGTGCCTTGAGTAACCACAAGTCCTTCTATGTAATGTGACTGACTCACAGGAGGGGCCATGGATGGCAACGTGGACATGAGGTCAGAACTGGAGGAGATGCAGCGTTGTGCTGACCAGATTACAGATGAGGTGATTGGCTATTTCTTTATAAATGTATCGTACCATCACACCAGAACATTGGAGCTGCTAAATGAAAGGTAGACTATGGTCTGCTTAGTTTGGCTTCTATCATCCTGGTCAATAATCTGTGTAGCCCCTTTAGGATCCTGAAAACAGTCATGAGATCACCTCCCAACCTATTCTTTTCCATTAAGGACAAGCCCAGGTTAGTTAAGCACTCCTCGTCTGTCCATTCCCACAATCATTCTGACAAACACTTCTGAATAGCTTCATTGTCTTTTCAGTACCGTGTCTGTAGATAGTAGTCACTGCACCAATGATTTATAACGTGGCAGGAATATCTCACCATTTTGACCTAGCATTAACTTTTTGAGATCCTTACTGTATTATTGCAGCCACATGGGCATCAAAGGATACAGGAGAATTCATTGTCTTCTTCATGAAGGATATACTGGCCTTGGAGTGCAGATTTATTGGAATGGTGCTGGGGCTAAAAAGGTTTCAATTATCTGAGAGGTTGCAAAGGCTCAGCATCCATTTTGCTTGTTTGAGAGCAGAAGGCTAAACAGTGTTCTAAATGTTCAAGAGAGCTGATGCAGTGGCCGGCGAAGCTACTCCCGCTGGTAGAGGGATATTAGAGAAAGGGGATATAACAATAAAATGAGAGGCAGGCCTCATTTCTAATCTCAGGAGGCTCTTATCACACACACACACACAAATCTGTTGAGGCTGAGGGTTCAATTTGTAAATATTGGCATTCAGATTGATAGATTGACGTTAGGTAAAGGGGATTAAGTAGAATGGAACCACTTTGCGTAGATGCAGTTATGATACAGGCTAACAGTGATTTAACTGAACACTGGAACAGACACAAGGGGCTAAATGACCTTTCACCTGTTTCCACAGAAACAAAGGAAGCAGGTAACACTGCAAGGCACTCAAGTCTGGGTTCCCAGTTCGAAACCTCTGTGCCCAGTAGCTGTTTGTGTCCATCTTCAGTTCCATCTGGAATGGAGTTAGGACAATGGATGGAGATGGATATTGAATCAATTGAATGGTCGACTGCCACTGGGTACCACCCACCGTGAATACAGCAAAGAACCAAGCAGCAGCTTTGTAACTACACCAGAGCAAAGAGTTAGTAACTGCAATGGTGGATGGAGAACCAAAGAAAGTGATGCTCAAAATAAATCCTGCCAAGCTTCAGAGAAAAGAGCCATAAATATCAATTATCTTCTGTGCTTAGTGAAATTTCATCATTAGAGGTGCAAAAAGGAATGGCCATGATAGGCAGAGAATCATGAGCAGGACTTTGCAGTAAGACTGCACACTGTGATGGGGAGACAGTGACATGATGTTAATGTCACTGGGCTGGAAATGTGGCCAGTTTCAGTTAAGGCATTCAAGAGGCATTGCATGCTTATTGGGATAAAATAGTGTGCAGGATTATGAGGAAAAGGCAGGAGATTGGCATGAGATAATAGGGCCAGTGCAGGAAATCAAAAATGCACAAGAGACCACGATTGGGGGAAGGCAAAATACTAGGACTGGGGGGACCCAGAGGTAGGAAAGGCAAGGCCTTCAGCATTTGAACACAAAGGATGAGAACTCTCAGTTTGAACCATTGCCAGATGGGGGAGCTGGTGAGAGCACAGGGGTGACGGGTGAACAGGAGTTGCTGTGCATTAGGAACTGGGCAACAGAGTTTGGGTAAACACTTTCACAGAGCACAGAAGATGCAAAACTGGTCAGGAATGCATTGGAATAGTCAGGCCTCGGGTTAACAAAGGAATAGATAACAGTTTCAGCAAAACAATGGCAAAGAGGTGGAAGGAGGCCATTATAAATGTAATAATCATTGCAACTTAAACACGATTCATTGCATTCATTTTTGACAGACCAATGAAACCTTTTAAAAATAGAAACAAAAGTTTTATATTTTTAAATGAATGATTGGTGATAGGCTTGATGAAAGATGTGTTTCATGAATTTCAGTGACTTTGGAGAGTTTGAACCCTTTGGCTGTCTGAACAATTACAAAGGCACCAGTGATTTCACAGTCTCTAAAGGGTCATGGGGCTGTGCGTAGTGAAAATCGATGAGGACAAAAAGCTTGTCTTCAAGGACAAGGAGGAATTAGAGACAGGAGCCCACAGTGTGTGATGGAGAAGCTGGTAATTAATACTGACAGCTCATGGCTGTATGGTCACAGGAGCCTGGGATGGGAATGAGCAAAAACTGACAGTCATCAACCAGATGATGTGACAGAGATGGTTTCTCAAATGAGATGCCAGGGGGAGCAAGGAATATTAAATCCACCAACTGACAGAACTGTCTGCTTGATTTAACCCTCTTGTTTTGAGAAAAACGAGAATTGCAGCATCTGTGTTGCAAAGTAATAGTGTAATAGTGTCTAAAGACTACTGTTTCTTAGAGCACGATTGAAGCTGCAGCCTTTCTGTCCTCAGTCACCATTATTGGCTTTTGCTCCAGCAACACGTTGAATTTAAAATTCTCAACCATCTCCTCACGTGCCTCCCTGTCCTCCAACCCATTCTTGATCAGCAACCTTTCTAAGCTCTTCCTTCAAGATATCTACTTTCCTTCAGTCCTGAGATTGATGTCAATGATAATGGTAACATCTGTTTCTCTCTGGTAATGTTTACAATACCTGCCAGCTGCTCATTCCATTAACTCTTTTGTAAACCCCAGAGTTCTGAGGATCTGCAATACAAAATGATGGTATTAACCCACTCACACGTAGCAGGTAGGGTGCAGTGGGGTTGTAGTTGATACAGGCACTGGAAGTAAAAGGCAGCCCAATTTGAAATGCTGCTGCCTCTTTTGTGGCCTGGCAGTGCCATGTTTGTATCTCTTCCGTGTGGTGGACAGAGCATGGCACATATTGACACCCCCTTTCCTGTTGTGTCCTGGTGCTTTATATCATCAGGGTGAAATCACAAAGGACAATGATAATAAAGACCAAACCTTCTTGCAAGATATTCTTTTAACCACTTTTTACACTGAAAGCACAAAGAGAGAAATCCGTTTTTAACAGTTCTGTCAACTATCCAATCTCAGAGAGTCACATTCACATTTATGGATTGGTTGCTCAGCAGTGACACTGGTCATGGACTGTTGGCATTGGCTGTACTCTTCTGTTGAAGTGGGATTAGAACCGGGAACAGGGAACAGGAAACGGGGGCACTATTGGATAAGGGCAATGAACTCTACTCCAAACTTCACCACAGTGAGTGTTTACTGGGAGGGTAGGGTACCTGCTCAAAGCCCCCCCGAGGAATGCAACATCTCCAGTGGCTCATGGGAATAACTAACCCAAGAACCTCTGTAAAAACTGGAGAGGAATTGTCTGTAAAGGAGACAACCATTTTGAGCATCATTGACAGGCACAGAGTGAGGCCAGACCTTGGAGGGAGAGTGTGAAAAGTTGAACATGTCCTCCCCACCACCACCTCTTCAAACACCAGCTGTCTCCCTGTGACCCTCCGCTCCTCAGACAGAGAGTGCAGATCCAGTTTTAGATCACCCACAGCTCTAGACTAGAAGAAAGTCATCTTTGCTGTTGAGGGACTGGCCAAGGAGAAGATTTATTTGTAATAAAACTATTAAAATTGAAGACATCTTGCAAGTATAATTAGATTTAGGATTAAAAATAAATAAAACTTTATAGTAGAGAAAACCTGAGGTACAACAGCGCCCCTATTGCTGGGAGCTTGTAATTATGCGTTCGCTTAAGCACTTCCATTATAAATGTGGACATTGGAATTTATAATGGGAAAAATTGACACAAAAATATAAGAAAAACATGTCACTAAGAGATCTGCTTTTACAGACAGGAATAGACTATTTTGTAATTTTGTTATTGGCATGGGTTCAGTACAGTTTTACCCTTTAAAGCTGCTTCTCCCACACCAATCCGCATTATTTCCAGTCGGAAGGATTTGTTTCTGGTCTCAGTGGGCACTGGTTGTGAGAAATCTCTTTGTGGGAGGTGTAGTTCTCCGCTGTTTCCTGGCAAATATTTACCACCCCCCCATCCCTCCAACCAAAGCCACTGAAACAGACAATCTGATCATCAAGCATTGACTAACTATAGGAGCAAATCAGGTGCTGTTTCCATTTTTTTTTCTATTCATTCATGGGATGAGGGCATCACTGGCTAGGCCAACATTTTTTGCCCATCCCTAATTGGCCAGAGGGCAGTTAAGAGTCAACCACATTGCTGTAGTCTGGAGTCACATGTAGGCCAGATGGCAGTTTTCTTCCCTAAAGGACATTAGTGAACCAGCTGGGTTTTTCTGACCACCAACAATGGATTCAAAGTCATCATTAGAGTCTTAATTCCAGATATTTATTGAATTCAAATTCCACCAACTGCCTTGGAGGATTCAAAGCCACATCCCTAAAACATTACCTGGGTCTCTGGGTTAACAGTCAGCAATAATACCACTAGACTATTACAAAGAACAAAGAACAAAGAAAATTACAGCACATGAACAGGCCCTACAGCCCTCCAAGCCAGATCCAGATCCTCTATCTAAACCTGTTGCCTATTTTCCAAGGATTTGTATCCCTCTGCTCCCTGCCCATTCATGTATCTGTCTAGATACATCTTAAATGACGCTATCGTGCCCGCCTCTACCACCTCAGCTGGCAACGCATTCCAGGCACCCACCACCCTCTGCGTAAAGAACTTTCCATGCATACTTCCTATCTGATAGCAGTAACTGATTCAAAAGTACCTCATTGGCTGTTAAGTATATAGGGACTTTTTGTGTTCAGGAAAGGTGCTATACAAGTGTACGTATTTTCTATGTGTAGCTGTGATTGAAGTTTGTGATTAAAGATTGTTTGTATGATGTGGATTTAGGTTCCTTAAAGCAATTGTTGACGAAAAGAAGCTTTCGCATTTATTCACAGTGGTCTCACAATGTTTATTTACTCCCTCTCTTCACAGTCTCTGGAAAGCACCCGTCGAATGCTGCAACTGGTGGAGGAGGTATGAGGCCAGCAATAATTTCATTTATTTTCTATGTTGATAAATTTCTGATTGAGTTGCGGCCACATTGCCGGGAAGTTTTGGGCACAACCATTGGATTGTCAGAGAGCGAGGTTAACATCCAGTGGGACAATGTGGAAAGTACACACTAAAATTCCACGCCCTCCACTTTCTTCCTCACACAATTCCTTACGTTTAATGCCCAATGGCTTCTGTCCCTCAAGTGATCCATCCTCCTCCATGAACATCCCCCATGATCATCTTTTCAAACAGGCAAGAGTTTTAATCAAATCCATTCTCACTCATCACTTCTACTAATGTGGCTACCAGCAAAGGAATCCCTGGCTGTTTGTTCCTCTTCCTGGTTTGGAAGTCCAAGAGCATTGCAGAGCTTCCTATTGCTGCCTTACTGGAGCCCTGGCAAACTGGTAAGGATGAGCAATCTAACTGGGGACATCCCTGCTCTCTATACTCCATGTACAGGGCAATGATATGAGTAAGAGAGGAGAAATTCCAGCTGCCTTCCTCATTCTGAAAGCCAGTACAGACAGTGGCCTGAATGACCTCCTCTTATGCTGTACCAATTCTACATTTGCGGCTGACCTGAAACATCCAGAGATTTGACAGCTGATACTTTGTATTATTTTCAGTCACCATCTCATACTGGCCACTGGGAGATGGCCTCGAACCTGTTAACAGATTCAGCAGCTTGAAACTTGTCTCCACTCATTTCCCACTCCCCATTCCAATCCCCAACCCCCCCCCCCCCCCCCCCCCCCATTCCCCCACCCCCAAAGACTCCACCCCCCCAATCCTCCCACACTCCCCACCCCATTCCCCCACTCCTCCCCTTCCCCCACTTCCCTGCTCTCAATCCTCCAATTCTCCCACTACCCCACTCCCACTACCTTCCACTTCCCCCACCCATTCCCCCACTCTCTTACCCCATATTCCCCCACTCCTCCCATTCCCCTCCCCCCACTTCCTGTCCCCCCACTCCTCCACACCCAATTCCCCTACTCCCTCACCCCCAATTCCCACCCCACCCACAATTCCCCTACCCTCAATTCCCCTACTCCCCATCCCACAATTCCTCCAATGCGCCCACCCTCGAAGCCCCCACCATAGGTTCACAGCATACCCTAGTTGAGACTGAAATTACAGCAATGAAGGGATTGTGTGTAGAGTGGCTGGAGGGCCTGGGCAGCAAGGTGAAAGCTGCTGTTACAACCCAAGATTATCAATAACAAATTAGCCTTCTGTTAGACACCAGATCAATTGACCTATCTATCAAAATGAGGGTCAATACAGTGTGGAGCTGGAGGAACACAGCAGGTCAGGCAGCATCAGGGATGGGGAGAACTGGGTGGGGAGTGTACAATAACATTCAGCACATAAAATATCATCCCAAATTAAAATTATCCTTGGAAAGAATCTCCTCTAATTGAATGAATCTCCTTTTTATGTTAACTGCCCTGTGCTTTCCACTAAAAAAATGTATCAGCACCTGATGACCAGCTCAGGAAAGTTACCAGCAATTTTGTAACACTTTAGGAATGGAATATTTAACACAATACACAGTATCAATGTTTGAGATTTGAGCTTCTAATATAAATGCTATAAAAATTTCGATATTATTAAGTTATGCTCCGCCCAGCATAGGGATTCGAAGAGAAATGTTTTTTGATCTAAAATAACAAATTTACTTTAGATTTCACAAGCCTATTTTTTACCCAACAACATCCAGTTTGTTTTTATTCTAGGAAGTTTTAGTTTATCCTTCCTTCCCTGAATGTCCAATGTTGGAGGCAAGGAGAGCTAGGAAAACAATAACGTTCCAAATTAATTGGGAAAAGACAATATTGCAGAGCTGATATAGCTGGTGATGGTACTGCAGAGTAGGAAGGGATGAATCATAGAATTCCGACAGTGTGGAAGGGGGCTATTCGACCAATCGAGTTCACACCAACCATCCAAACAGCTTCCCACCCAAACCCACCCTTCTACCTATCCCTGTAACCCTGAATTTACCGTGTTTAATCCATTTAATCTACACATCTCAGACACAATGGGTAATTTAGCATGGCCAATCCACCTAACCTGCACATCATAGGACTATGGGAGAAAACCGGAGCACTCAGAGAAAACCCAAGCTGACACATGGAGAATGCAAATTCCACACAGACAGTTGCCTGAGGGTGGAATCGAACTTGTGTCCCTGTGAATGCTGGGTTAGTAACTCATTCGCTTTAATAGTTGACTCTCATGTGTCAAACTGAGCCAACTTTTCTACAAAGCAACCAGCTCAAAATGGAGCACAAGTGATGAAAGTGCAGTATAAAATTCAAATCTGTCACTTTTGTAAATAGTTGGACGTTGGAATTGTTTTGGTCTGATCCATCATTCTACAGGAAGCATGCTGACACATTTTATTAAATTTCATTAATCTCCAGCATACAGACATCCTCTCCAGCAAATACTTAGTTTGCTTGCCCCAGTCGACGCAGTTAAAAGAACATCTGTCTATGTGAATCTTTGTACTAATAACATGAAGAATCGACAGATGGTTTGTAAATGCGAACCATCAGCTTCACTAAAAGACAAAGTCTGGGACCGGATCTTTCAGTCTCTGTTGGTGTTGACACAAGGATTTTCTTTTAGCCTTATCCAATATGAATGAATAATATACAATGCGGGCAGGATTTGGAGAGGGCTATTGGGTAATTTACTGGAGTTTACAAGCTGTGGTGATGTGTGAGCAAATGGGGCTGATTACCTAACACCGTAATAAAAATAAAATGTTTTCTGCAGAACTAAACTAAGCTGCATGATGAACAATTGGCCCCTATAGATTTGACAACAGAACTGTTGAGCTATGTTCAATTACGAGCTAAGTTCCTGACTGCTATATCACACTGCAAGCAGTCCCAGGATGAAGGCCCCAGGGTAATGACTCACGATCAAATGGTAGGGAATGGTTTGTAATTTTAGGGAGGGAGAGAGAGGGCAGGTGAGTGAAGCAGGGGATACGATCCTCTAATTGATTGATTTAATGTTGTCACATGTAGGCAGATTGTACAATAGAAAGTGCATTAGGGATAGCAGAACAGAGTGCAGAATACACTGTTACAGCCGCAGAGAAGGTGCAAAAAAAGATCAGAATTAATGTTTGAGAGGTCCATTCAAAAGTCTGATATCAGTGGGGAAGAAGCTGTCCTTGAATCTTTCATATATGTATTCAAACTTTTATGTCTTCTGCCCAACCGAAAAGGTGGAAAAGAGTATAACTGGGGTGGGAGGGGTCTTTGATTATTTTGGTTGCTTTACAGGGCATATTGCGCAGATGTGCAATACTTCTAAAAACTTGTAAAGAAAAAGGACAGCCCAATCCTGAAGGCCATATTATTGGGTGGGCAGTTTTACACCAGGGTGAATTGAGCTTCTGGAACGCTGAATTGGCCCTGAATTGTCTGTGTACATGTTTTGGGGTGCTGCCGAATTTAGCGCTTGCCCACCCTTGATAATATGGGGGTGATCTTGAGGGAGGGTGTGCTGAACACGTGCCCTATTTCATATGCCCCCCCGCCCGCCTTCACCAAAAACACATTTGGCGTCTTGTAATATCCAGCCCCATGGTTCAAAAGTGGAAATGAGTCATGACTGTTGGAAAAACAGCTCATTTTCAGTTTCAAGCTGAAAGTGACAAAGATAACATCCCATTGCCTCAGGCCATAGCTGGGCCTGTTGATCCAAGTTGGGGATCTGTATGGAGCATTATCCTGTTGATTTGATTTGGGAATTCTGTTGCCATGTTCACATTTATGTAAAATTTTGACCTTCAGCTGATGTACTTGACTTTTTTTCTGCCTGAGCACAGCAATTTTGCAACCAGGAAAGGGTCTTTGAAGGCAGTGAGCAGCTCTGTCAGGTGACAGTTTGTTGGTCCTTACTTAGCTTGAATCAGTAGGTGGCCTTCTGTGTCTGAGATTAACATCCAGGGCATCACCACATGAAGACTGACCTTTCAGTCAGTGCCTGAAGCAGCACTGCCACATTGTAGGTGTCAATAACATTTAAAATTAACTCTTGTTATTGAGGTAGAAGCTGCAACAACAGACCCATTGACATTCTTCAGAGAAAGTCAGCTAGTTCTGCAGATGTTTT